CCCCCAAAAATATAATAATATCTACTTTAAAAAATCGAACTATGTTTTTGTCCGACATTTTTTATATTATCTTGGGGGGCCTGTTATATATTAAGTAAATTATGTAGAAATAACAGTTCTGTCTCCTGTCGTCTTCGTTCCAAACTTTGAACCCCACACAGTAATTGTCTTGTTTTGTAAGCAATTCCCTGGGTTGGAAAGAGTTTAAAAAAAATATTTTAAAAATTTGTTTTGTATTATGGAAAAGTATTCAAGATTACTGCGCACCAAACTGTTAAATAAGCACAAAATTGCTCGAATATCCTAAATGTGTTTAATGTTCCTCTTGATGAAGCCTAGTAGCCTAAAAGATTTCAGAACGACACCCTGCAAGTACAAATTGAAGAATAACTCCTTGTCCAATAGGACACTAAGGTCATCAGTTGATGAAACTACTTCCAGAGAGTCGTTCTTTATGTAACAAAGAGTATTATTGGGCTTGGTACATCTGTAGAATCTCATCAAATTGCACTTTGATACGTTTAGTTGCAGAAGGTTTGATTCGCACCAGGATACAAAACCATTCAGATCTAACTGTACATCATCTGCATACTGTGAATACTTAAAACATGAAGAAATGTCGTTAATAAATAATATAAATAACAGAGGACGAAGATGCGAAACTTTTGGAATACCCCAGGTAATAAACACTTCGCGTGGAACTGACCCGCAAATTAGAACACGTTGTCGTCGATTAGTAAGGTAGGATATGATCCAAGTGAGGTAACTTCCTGATATTCCAATAACGCCGAGTTTCTCAATCAAGAGAGAATGACAAACTCTATCGAAAACTTTAAATATATCTGCATAAATAACATCAATACAGGTAGTAAGAAATTCCTGGAAGACTGCAATATTTGTAACTGTGGATCTGCCTCTATAGAATCCATGTTGATTAGGAATAATGTAGTGTTTATAACAGTATGTCAGTTGAATTCAAAAACTTTCGATATTGCGGAGAGTAATGAAATTCCACGGTATTTCCCAACGTTAGTTTTGTTTAAAATATTGAAATTAAGTTAAAATTCTTCCATTTGTTTGGAAAATAACCTCTATCAAATGACCCCTGGAAAATGGTATGTAGAGGATTTGCTAACGAAAAACAATTATCTACTATAATGTGCACAAACATACAAAATCTTAACCTTCATACTATAACGTAGGTCTGGCGGTCGCTGGCTCTTAGTCTATTAAGTTTTATTGAAACAAAACTGCTCGATTTGAAATCGAACTGACAATTATTGCAGAACACTGGCAATACAAGAAGTACTCGATTCCAAAAGCTTTAACAGTGCTCCTCGACATTTTTACTATTTTATATCTTTCCCTTATTTTTTTTTATTTTTCATATATTTATTTAGAAACCTCACCAAATACTAAATAATCACCAATTTTCTTCAATTTCACATAATAAGAATAACAACCGTTACCGATATTTTGATTAAACAGACCGTTGCAAAAACAATATAGTCTTAGTAAATATATTTAATCATTCAAGATTAAAATCTAAGAAATCATTGGTATCCAATCAATTTTAATATAAATTCCAGCAAAGATTAATGTCATTATCAAATTCACCTCGCTTGTTTAGTTGATTTATTTCTTCATACTTAATAATACATCAAAATTAATACCAACCAATTTAATAATTTATTTTATACTTAATTGCGAAACAAAAACTTTTCGGCATTATTAAGTATTTTAAGTTGTCAAAATAAGCGTTACTGGCATATAAAGGTTATCTAAATTTAAAATTATAATAAATGAAGAAATTGCTTCGGTATCACCATGTGTAGTAATTTTTTTAGATATTTAATTAAATCGTTTATAGATATGTAGAAAATATCTAAATAACTGTTCCATTGCATATACATGAACTTTGAAATAACAGATATGTAATCGTACTTGTAAAGAGGACAAACTTTTGTTAAAGTTACCTACGAGGGTTGTCCCAACAGTAACGCACAACGCGCTCTAGCGGGAAACCTAGACAGCTGATTGAAGCGTCAAGTCTAAAGAACACGTATATGGTAGTAGGATTTGTTTAAAGAAAAAATACTAAAACTTCGAAAAGACAACGAGAATATTCCGAAAAGTCGGATTTAAGCAATAGAGTAATGTGCGTATAATCCCATCGAAACTGTGCGCAGTAAAAATGGTCCGAAATTCATGCAGCTTTGACAGAAGCATGTGGAACGTTTTCTGTGCATCGTATCACAGTACAAAGGTGGCACAAAATATGTAACGTACATCTAGGAATGTTGCAAAGTGATGTGTGTTGATTTTTCACGATGGTGCTCACCCTCACATCAGAGCATCGATCACCGAACTTCTCAAAAAATACGACTGGGAACAGCTCCGTCACTAGGCTTATAGCCATGGTCTAAGTCCAACTGACTTCGATCTCTTCCCCAAGCTCAAAGAACCGCTTTAGGGGGTGCGTTTTTCGACACTGGAAGAGCTCCGAAGAGAAGTAACCCGACTGATTCGGATGCTCAATAAAAAAGAGATGCTGTACGGAATCCAAACACTTTTCCAGGGGTCGACATAAACGAAAACTGATTTTCGGGTCAACGAAGTCTAAAAATCTACGTCTATGTCTAAAAATAGACCCCTATTAATTAACACAAGTTCTTATTTGAAACTTTAAAGATACTGTATAAGTTGTGTTACGTGTACCAATTTGTTATAAAAATGACTAATATTTTAGTAGAAAGTATCATTGTTGTACTTTTAAAAAAACTCAACAAGTCGTTAAGCGTGCACAACTTCGTACAAGATGAAAAAATCAGCAAGTCAATAAGCGTGGACAAGTAAGTTCGTGCAAGTATTTCAGACACGTTTTGACCATACGAGCGAAGAAAGATTTAGTTTCAATTGATACGTTGAGACGAGTACTTCGTCCACGCAACTAAAGATGACTGCTGCAGTTGCAGATGAAATTACATTGACGCCAACCGTGAAAGCCTAGATTATTATGTTCTTCTAGGTAATTTTTTTTATAATGCCCCTTAATACAAAAACCTATATCGATATATTATAATCGAAACATACTTAAACATTATGATAGGTTTTAATATTTTTTGAAAAATTTAAATACACTACTCTCCAAAATTAACGCACCACCTTAAATGTACCATAAGTTTCAAGCTATTTTTCTTCTGAACCGTTAATTGGATTTCGATGTTTTTTTACATTATAAATCTATTTCTAAGGAATTACTGTACCAATGTTTTCTGAGAAATGTCAACTTTTTACCCATATACGGGATGTAAAAATATAGTTGTGTTTTTTCATCTTATTTTGCAACACCCTGTGGAATTTATTAAAAACAAACTCTACATTTTATTAATATTGCTAGCCCTTCACCAATTAGATATAGTTTGGGTCTTTATAGTATTTCCAAGAAATTTTTGAGAAACATTCACGAAGCTCTTCCATGCTTCTTCCTCATGTACCGCCATATTCTTCGGGAATTCTGTATCTTTTATCAGTTCTCGTATTTGCGGCCCATTGAAAATCTCTTCTTTGATTTTAGCATCTGACAACTTTGGGAATTTCTGGTAGATATATTGGAAGACTTGGCTACTTCTTTTTATAAGAGCCTTGACGAATTGTTTTGTCAACCCCAATTTAATATGGAGAGGAGGTAGTAAAATACTTTTGGGATCCACTAATTTCACTTGGTATATGTTCTTCTAACCCACAACAAAATTGTCCTTTGATGGCCAAACCTTTCTTTGGTGATGCTCATTACGAGCTCGACTGTCCCATTCACATAAAAAACAATGGTCTTTTGTAAATCCACTCTGTTGCCCCAAAAGTATTGTTACCACCTGCAAATCCGTACATATATATTGATTTTTTGGAGCAAATAGTCCATATTGCAGTAGTCCTCACTCAATATCGACGAGTAGGCCATTGGAATGTACACTAGGTTATTGCCACTGTTCAACAAAACAGCTTTTAAACTTTTGTTGGATGAGTCAATAAAGAGCCGCCAATCGTCCAAATTATGTTTGACTTCAAATTTACCGAATAGACCTTCTATATCTCTGCAAAATACTAATGATTCATGTTGGTCATAATATTTATCGTCAAATTCTCGCTTCTTGGCGGGGAACTTGAAATTCGTAACTTCCTGCCTACTGGGCCAGACCAAGGCAGCACACGTAGCATGAGACAAACATTTTGGCAAGATTCTGGGTCCTTAAGGTTAATGCTGGGTGGACGATCATGAACTCACAGCAAATGCATCGTCGCAATCGACGCTTGGCAGTGGAATATAAAGTCACCAGTTAGTAACCCCTTGAGCCAGTTCTCCACCTGGGGCCAGACCTGAGCGGTACACAAAACATAACTCCAATATTCTGGCAAGATTCTAGGGCCATTTGGGTCAGGGCTGGATCTCCTCGCATTATCTCACAGCAAATGGATCGCCGAAATTGAACACTTTGGCAGGGAGATCGAAATTCGCGAAATCTGGGTTTTCTGACGTGATGGGGCAAAATACCTAAGAATACCATAGTCCAGTCAAATAGTCCCGACTTTTTTTTGTATACCTGTGAATCTTTGATAATAGAGGTAGCAAGATGATTTTTTTACGAAAATGTTGTGAAAATATGAAGCTATCTCACAATATTAATAAAATGTAGCGTTTATTTTTAATAAATTCCAAAATTGCAAAATAAGATGAGAAAACACAAATTTATCTTTACACCCTGTATATGGGTAAAACGTTGTCATTGCCTAGAAAACATTGGTACAGTAATTCCTTAGAAATAGACCTATAATGTGAAAAATCATTGAAATCCAATCAACAGTTTAGAAGAAAAATAGCTTCAAACTTATGATACATTTAAGGTGGTGCGTTAATTTTGGAGAGTAGTGTATATTATCAATACGAAAAATATATTGCGAAAAAAAAACTAAATTGCTAATAAATTATTTAACGAACTTACCATTACTGATCTTAGGAAATACACCACATAAAATAAAGTTGAAGTACCTGCAAGTAAAACAGATATTTAATACAGGGTGTTAAAAAAAATAGTGTAAAATATTTAAAGAAACAGTATGGAATAAAATGAACATGGTTCTACAAAGAAGGTTATTCTTTTTTTGACGCCTTTCTTAATTGTAGAAATAGAAAAGGAAATAGAAGGTACATTTTAGAATGGTGTAGACTGGTGTATGTATATTATACAAATCAACAGAGAAAACTTCATTCTAAAATTTTTGTATCTTCTATTTCCTTTAAATGGTTTTAAACATGTGTGTTTGAATTACTCCCATAATTTTTTTGTTCTTGTAGGGTACCTTGAAAATATAAACAAAAATTAGTTCATAGCCATTCTGTAGAACTTAGCGCTCTATCGAATGGCACCAAAACAACGTTTCTAACTTTTACCGTTAAAAAAAAAATAAAACTAAACAATCCACCTAACAAATTTGAGGGAATTGGAGGAGTTGGGGGGGTCAAAAATCTACTAAAGTTTACTTCCTATATTCACTCTGAAAAAGATTTGCTTTTTTTCAAAAGTATAAAAAGTATAAGACCCTCAAGTCACTATACTTCATCAATTTTAAGACACTGAATCTTTGGTCATTAACAAACAACCATAAAATAATTTAACGTATTAACCATTGTTAATCATAGATGATATCTTCGATTTACAAAGCATAATTTTTTATTGTTTCCTCTCATCAGTAAAAGAAACTAGGTAACTAGTATTACCAACAAACCATTACTGTTTTACACAATGAAAACAGCTGTAAACGAGATTGCTAAATGAAAATATATATATCTGCCAATTTGATTTTTACTGCACAGTGAACGAGACAAATAATATGTTGCAAAATAATGCGTAATGTACGAGCCTCAGGAGTTTGTCTTAACTCTCATTGACTTGGAATTGTAACATATCATATGTAACATATCAACAAACAGATGAATTTCAATATAAATTAATGGAAAGAGAAATAAAAGGCTATTTTAAAGAATGTATTGATGGGAGAAATTAATCTATTAATTGACATTCCAAGAATGGGTCTCTGTTTAACAATTATTTTAAATTTAAAATAGAAGCGAGTTGCCTATTTAAGGTAAAAAACAAGGATTGTTACGAAAGATTGATTAAATTTTAAATAAAAAAGTACATCAAATATTAAGACCACACAAACAGAAGGTTAAAATGGCTTCAAATTAGAGATTGAAAATCACATAAAAACTTTATCAAGAAAGATCAAAGAAATCAAATAAAATTAGTAGTCACATCTACATTAAATGTTGATAACTAATGAGTAGGTACCTACAGTGAACTCTATTTAAAAAGATTAACAATATAAGTTTTAAAATAGAGTCTGAACTATTGTTTACTAAAGTTGAGGTATAGGTACCTACATGGTACTGTGAATTTAAAATTAAGAACTATTTTAATGAATTGTTTATTTAGTTTGTTAAATAAGTTTTATTAGATTATAAATAGTAAGAAATTATAATTATACTGTAACTGTTATTGAATTAAAAGAAACTTAATGCTATAGGGAATTTACTATGGTAATTTTACATACTGCAAATGTGGGATTACTTACAAATTGAATTTCGGCGTTCAAAGAACCTGAAGGGCCAAGTTCAATATATTTTTCGAAATTTCAAAATTATTTAATAAAATTTCAAAACCCTACAAATTTTCAAAAAGTTATGGTGTAACTTAATTGTACAGTTTTATTTAATACTAGTAATTTATAATAGATATATATGCTTACCACATTTGAAAGTTCCACATAGTTCCATAATTTTACTCTGAAACAAAAACTTTTATTAAAAAATAATTCAACTAAAAGTATTATCAAATTTTTAAAAGAATATTCATTCATTTTAGGTTATTATGAAATAGAAATATATGGCTAAAATATGTTAAGATTAGCAGCATATCACTTTCATTATAATCCTATATAGATGGTGTGAACATGTGTGCATAAATTGTAAAGACAACTTTCTGATGCAATAGACACCTGGTCAACACTTTTAGAAAATGTTGGTATCAAACCCTGATCAAATCTTTTTGACACACATAGTAAATTGTTTCACAAAATTTTAAAAATTAAAAAGTTTTGCACGAAATTATTTTTATAAATTTAGAAGACTATATCTGAACCTATATCTTTTTAATACTTGGAAAATTTTTATTTATAAAAACAGAAGCAGAAGAAAGAAGAGTTATTAGTTAATTATGTACAAAGAATGTCGTGTGGAGCAAACGGACATTGATCATCGGGGCGGTAGAAGACTACATGACCCAAAAATAACTCATTTTAATGTATATTTAATCTTAATAACTAAAAATTATACTGACAGTTAGTTTTACAGAATAGTCATTTATTTAAAATTTTAAAAATAATAGTAGTTAGGTGACTTAGGTGTCCAAAATATGAACAGTGATTGGTGGATTTCATTTTTTGCAGTGTTCTTACTACCTAGAATGGATACAAAAAATACATTCGTTCAGTTAAACGCAATAACATACTTTTTCTACACCCATATGGATATTAGCCCATCTACGCACAGACAACAAAACGAAAAAGTGTGCTATTGCGTTCAACTGAACGAATATATTTCATATCACTATTGTCGTATATTTTTTAGTTATTAAGATTAAATATACATTAAAATAAGGTATTCTTGTATAGAATCAATAAATAATAGTATTTCTATTTTTAATTCGTCTATAATTTTAAATAATTTGTTAATTTTAATAAAAGTATATGAATTTAACTTTTTTTAGAAGACTCTCAGACTTTCAACTTTATAAATAATCCGGCAACTGTGTAAGTGGAACTGGTGACGTAACGCCGTATCGTATGCAAAAGGAGAGTCGCAAACTAGAAGAGACTCGTTGGGCAAGTTCGGCTTGGAACAGGGGGGGAAACTCCTATGCGCAAAACTGGAGTAGCGTTAAAATTAACCACCTCCACTGCAACGTTGAAATCGTTTGGTGGGGTTGGTGGTGGCAGTGTAAATAACAGATGACAGGTGAATATTGATTTTTGTTGGGGGGTCGTCTTGGCTGAAACGGAAGCGTTGTTATTTATATTGGTGACTTGGTTGTATTCAGTTGTGGTTTCATTTTCAATTCGCATAATTGATCTAGTTGACCACTGTTAGTAAGCTTGTTTTCCCATTATAAATTTGTACTTTTTTCGCTGTTATTTTGTGCTTTTTCCATAAAGATGCGTAATTATAGAAAATGTTGTGTACCGAATTGCCTTGATGTGGGCAACAAGATGCACTCACGTTTTTGTACACATTTCGTTCTAGAGGTAGGTAAGTAATTTCCGATTTATTAAGAAAACCACTGTATAATGTGTGTGTTTAATAATATATTACAAAATGACTATAATTATTTTAGGTGAATTGGAACAAAAATTCATTGTTACAGCTACTTTTGTTCATTAAGTAGGTAGATGAATGTCTGGACAGCTTTAATGGCAGCACAAAGTTCATACCTACTAGAAAAGTAAAATGTATGCAGAGTAAAGAATCTACACATGTAGTATTGGCAAAGGGCTTTTGAAATGATTAGAGATTGGCCATTTCTTACATATACCTACCTCTAATAGCCACTCTAAAGGAAGAAAAAAAATTGAATCACAAAAGGGCAGAATTTTAAATCAGGATGCATTGGAAAATAAATTTGGGGACATCAGGTCGGTTTTGGATTTTAGAGATAGATCAATCTCAAGAAAAGTTCATTTATCCTGCAGAACAACCAGTAGTTTAAGTAGGATTTGCTATAACTTTATTATAAATTTTCGTTGATAATAAATTTTAATATAGGTACCAATTGTTTCAAATGAAATTGAAAAAGAGTTAAATACGAAATTAGATTTTTCATGGGTAAAATGTTATATTCATTTAAATATTGTAAGGTAATCTATAATTAAGGGAATATGGAAAATAGGTATACCTTAGTGGTGTAAGAGACAGGTAAGGGGCAATGACAAAAAAATTACAAAAATGTATGCATCTTTAAATAGTTTTTATTATTAATAATATTATTTGCTATGTTTGAAAAGTACCTCCTGCTGCAGAACAGATCAAATAGATTAGACTACTAGTTGGAGAAGGTCCACCTAGTAACCAAATTAGGAGACTAGGAAAACTTTTACATGACTGAGGACACAACAGGAATGCGCACACACACACACAAGATACACAAACAAACCAAATAACAGGGGTAAGCCTTCAGCAATGTCCTGTTTAAATGATAGTATGTCATCCTTCATTCCCTTTTAGAAGGCATGGCATATAAATCTATTGATCTTGATTACCCTAAGAGGAGTTAGCAGGGGGTGTACAGAATGGGTCTAGCAGGTTTCGATCCAGTTTACAGGATGGGAACTTACTCGACTCGGGCCTTATACATTTGTGTTGAGGGTATGTTTGTTAGTTTCGTTTCCATGGTTTCTATTAAAATCAACAGTCATAACATATCAATACCTTTTTGCCAGGTAAGGGACATTTGTTCAAATGGCACTTATGATAGTCTGGCAAAAAGGTATTGATATACTCTATACTTTATAAAATATTTGTTACATTAGTTTTTAAATTTAAAGCTCTGACGAAAATAATTAAAATATGTACAAAAATAAAAAATAATATAACAAAACTAAATAAAAAAAAAATTAAAACAAAAAAAAAACAAACAAAAACAAACAAAAACAAGTAAAAAACAAAAACAGACGAAAAAATCAAAAACAAGCAAAAACATGAGCTAGAAAAAACCTATTATAGGATTTACTTCTTAATAATGTATTTAGAGAAATTTGTATTTTTCAAATAAAATGTGAACTGTGAAATATTGTAAGGATAGAACTTAAAATTGAATTAATACAGAATAAACTTTATTAAAATTAATTAAAGATTGACTGGCCAGTTGGTTTTGAAACCAGTGCCAAACAGAAATACACACACAGTTTTTAAATATATTATGAATATATAACAACTGTTACTTTCTTTGTAATTTGTTTTTCTGTACCTTACAAAAATATAATTTATAGAAAAAGAGTTTGGTGTATGATTTTTCCAAGTTTAAATATTTAATAATCAATAGAATTTTTCAAGTTTTTTTTTAGCGAAATTTACAAGAGTAATAAAAACTATGTTCACTGCTTATATTAAACTGATTAAAACTTCCTTTATTAAAATGATTATTTATATGATGAAAAATTTGATGTTATTGGAAGCTTTAATATTTGTTTAATATACAGTGAAACAATAGTTTTTGTTTCTCCTGTAAATTTGTATAGAAAAACTATTTATTTCTGAATCCATGTTTGAATTTCCCGCCCCAAAGGATTTTTAATTTTCCCGCTATATACTAGTGGCGCCATCATAGACTGGTTGTGGTTACAATCGCCCAAATAACTTTTACCGAACAAAAAAAAAATACATTGAGTTACACGTCTCGCTGGATTGTCTCTGCCACAATTGAGGAATACCGAGTGAAATCAGCCGTTGAAGTACAGTTGTTGGTTATGCAACACATTTTAAATTTGTTGTTGGTTAAGTTATAACGTTTATTTTTAATAAGTAAAATTTGGTAAAAGTTGGTTCTGGTTTTATTCAATACTTTGACATTTTAGTCCCAAATATACTTAATTACGAGTATTAAAGCAAAAATATCAAGCGTTAACTTGCCTGTCACGCGAAAAGCCAGGGCCCAAATCAAGAAAGGAAAATTGGTAAAAGTCATAAATTATTTTTGAATTAGTTATTTTATCTTAATAACCTAAAATAATTTTTAATATTTGTAGATTTTCGTTAATGCATCGACGAAAAAATGTAGTGTATAACTCGAGTAGATTATAATGAGAAAAAAAAATATACATTTGAGTGAAACAAAGTTTAAAGTTCTAATTATTTCTAGCGGCTACAGCCACAGAATGGTCGCACGACTAGAGCCAGAATGAAACATTGTCATGAAGTGTCAATTAAAATTTCTCCAGGTTTGCCTCAATAAAGTTTTTCTTCCTAATTTATTTATGATTGTAGAAAAAATTGTGTGTTCAACTTGTGTTAACAGTATACTCGTATATGTTTAACTCATTGAACTGCCGCATTTGCCTGCAGCGCACTATTTCTATGGCAGCGCACGAGTCAATATTTCCATTCTTGAAACAAGATACCACTTTATACGCTTGTTGCATAAATTATTTATGTACCCGGGCTAGTAAGTATAATTTACTGTTTGAGAATACACTTTGCAAACCTAAGCCTGCTTATAAGGTTGTTCTAAATATAATTTTTAATAACTCACTGTAACGAAAATGATTTATTACTCTTTTTCTTACACTATTTAGTTTTAAAATTTCAATTTTAAAATAACCCGTTTATTTAAAACATTTTTTAACTAATGTCTGTTTGGTAACGAGTAAATTCTTCCTCAGTCCAGGTAGGCAACACTTTATACATCTAATATATACAGTCAAATTAAGGCCAATATTCGCCTTTTTTTATTAATTTAAGTGAACCGATGGTACATCGTTTAAACGGTAATTTAACAGGAAATATTATTTTAAAATTTAAAATGGGCGCCATGAAACAAAGTTATTTTCAAAAAAATAAATTCTCTCTTTAAAAGAATCTTAAGAATGGGACACTTTGGACTCGACTTTGGTGTATGTCATATTAACGGTTAAGCCGTCATTTTTAGATTTTTGAAATAACTCATAGTTTTAAATAATCTAAAAAACGGATCCGATAACAGCATCTAATTATCTAAAACATTACCATTTTAACCG